GCTCGATAATTTCTGCATGCTGTTAGATCACCTTTCTTTGGAATGGGCACAAATATGGATCTCTTCCAGTCGGTTGGTCAGAAAGCTGTCTTCCAAATTTCTTAATGTAGACAATGGAGCACCTCCAGTGCTGCATCTGTTTGTCGAAACATCTCTGTTGGTATTCTGTCAGTTCCTGAAGCCTTGCTTTTTACCCTTCCCTTCAGTGCAGCTTGGACCTTTTCCTTCAGTACCATTGGTTCTTGTCCATGGGACACACTCAAAATAGCAAGCATTGGTAAATAAACTCAATCTTGGAGTGAGGACAAAACTAAGTTTTAGGTCAATAAATGTAAGGATGAGACCATGGATACAAGTGAATTCAGTGCATGTTTTACCTTTGATGATAGAAACTTTGTCTATTCATTTTTGCCATTCTCTCTCCCAACTTGCCCCTGTTCCCATGCACTTAATCAGCAACTGTTGAACTGAAGGTAAATACAGCCAGCGAGACCTCATAGAAGTTGGTTATTGGATTTTCCTTGGTGACATTATGGCTTTTCTTTTAATTTTCTATAGTGGCTACTTATAGCCACTCTTTTCTGAATACTCCCTAATTTGTCATGTCAACCTTAAAAGGTGACACAGTACTTCTGCTATGGTTTGTCAGTGAAGAGTTCAGTGGGATTTCTTCTCTTGACCTGGTCTTCCATCAGCAGCCTGGGATTATGTTAGTTTAACCAGTTGCTCCCCCACCTAGTTGGCTCTCAAAACAGCATTCACTTACTGATTCAGCACATTTCTCCCTACACTTGCTCCATACCAGGCCATGTGCTGACTAGTGAGGATATCAAACCAAAAAAACTAAACTCATTGCCATTGAGTCACTTCTGACTCATGGCAATCCTACAGGACAGAGTAGAACTGCCCCCCTAGGGTTTCCAAGGAGTGCCTGGTGGGTTCAAACTGCTGACCTTTTGGTTAGCAGCCGAGCTCTTAACCACTACACCACCAGGGCTCCACTGAAGATACAGGGGACTACAAAACATGGTTCCAATTCTCAGTCTAATGGGAAACAACAGCATAGCCGCCAACACACTGTGAGGCAGTTTAGTGTGGGTTTTACAGTTTGTGGGTTAGAGTTCCATTTCTTTCACACAGTAGCTACAAGTCGATATACTCAGCTATTAGCTGAAAAGTTGGAGGTACTAGTCTACTCAGAGGTGCCTCAGAAGAAAGAGGTGCCTCATCAG